AGATTTATAGACTTAAAGCTAAAACTATAAATAAAGCTATAGATAAGCTTATTAAATAACTAAATAATAATAAATCTATTTCTATTTTAGTCTATAATAATAAAAGTAAGTTTAAAAGAAAAGTAATTAAGACTTATAAGAAAAGAGAAATAAAGATTATTTATAAATAAGCTTATTATTTTTAATATTAGAAATCTATTAAAATAGCTAATTAAATCTTTAAAAAATAACTATAGACTATATAAACAGATACTAGTATCTAATTATAGATATAGTTATTTCCTTTAATTGTATAGGTAATTAATACTATAGCTATACTAGCTCTTCTTAAAGGAAATATATTATATAAAGTCTAGTTTAAATAAAAGCTATCTACTAATTTCCTAGACTATAAGAAAAATACTTATTATATATATATATAGCTTTAGAGGCTATAGGGCTTATAGAAGATATTACTAAAAGTAGTATTTCTAGAAAAGATAAAGAGAATAGAAAGAATAAAGAAAATAGCTGTTTTATAAATAAGAAAATAGAATAGAAGAAAGTAGCTAAAAAGATAATTTTATCTGAACTAACTAGAAGAATTATAGAATATATAAGAAAACAGAAAGAGAATATAATAAAGAAAATAAATTTCAAAGCTTTTAAATATAATATTTAAGAGATTATAATCTTTTAGATTCTAAAGAAATATAGATTTCATATAAAAATAACTAGAATTCTAATAAGAGTTTTAGAAAAGACTTTAAAGATATATAGTTTATAAGCCTTACTTTTAATAAAAGCTAATTAAAATAGGGCTATTACTTAGTTACTAAATATAGTAACTTATTATTCTCTAGTTATATAATACTTTTAATAAAATCATTTTCTAATTAATTTATCCTAATTTATCTACTATTTATATAACTTATAAAAGAAATAAAATTATTCTTTCTAAAATAGTAATAAAGGAGAATAATTATAGTAAAGAAAGATATATAGAAATATTAAAATATATATTAAAAACTGAAATATTCGAAATACTTTTTTTAATAAAAAAAGAGAAAAAAAAAAGAAAAGAAAGCTATATATAAAAGTAGTAAATAGCTAAAAGCATCTGACTAGCTATATAACTTATTACTTAATTCTCTATTATATATATCTCTAACTAACTAGTACTTATCTCGAATATTAAACTAAAAAATAAAATACTAAACTAATAAACTAAATTAAGTATTAAACCAAGTATTAAACTAAGAACTAGCTATATAAGTAACTTACTAAACTAGCTCCTATATATTTATAAATTATAGGCAGTAAGCTAGTAAAAGTATATATATTCTACTAAGATTCTATTAGAATAAAATACTACCGGATTTTAAACTCTTTTTTCTATTACTTTATTTTATTCTATACTATTTATATAGTACTTTATCTATTCTTTTTAGCTTATAGTAGAGCTCTAGAAAGAAAGAAGCTAAGCTAGTATTTACTTTAGTTTAAAATATAGTTTATTATAATTATTTAAATAATAAATACCTATTATAAGATAGTAGTAGAACTAGAAATAATAATTTCTATATATATACTAAAAGCTAGAAGAATATTTATTATAATAATAGAAATAGCTCTTTTCTATCTTAATATATAAAATAAATAAAAGGCTAAAAAAGCTAGCTAGAATAGATAAAATAGAAATAGAAGAAATAAGAAATTAATAAAAAATAGTAGATAAAACTAATAAAATAGAAGCTTAATAAAGCAAAAAAGTAGAACTTATTATAGAAGCTATATATAGCTATAAAGATATATATAGTAAAGAGGAAATTATAGAAGATAAAAAAGGTAAAAATAAAGACTCTAATAAAGTATAGTTTAGTACTAAATTAAACTCTAGTAAAGTATTATCTAGTACTAAATTATATTTAGCTAGAAGCTTTATAGAATCGAGATTCTCTAGTAAGTTTAGTAATTTCAGAAGCTTATAATATATTGAAACTAGCTTGTTTACTAGTTTCAGAAGCTTGTAATCTATTAAGAAAACTGGTTTATCTAATAGAAAGTTTAGTAAAGAAAGTAATTATAAAAGTTCCAGACTAAAAGTATTAATTAAAAGAACTTAAGAAAAATATATAGCTTTTAATACTAGAGAATAAGAAAGCAAGAGTAAAAGAGTAAATAGCAAATAAATAAGTTCTTTTTAAGCCGGATTTAAGAAGAAAATTATCTAATCTCTAACTATATTTCTTAGAAACTAGATAATCGAGTAAACTATAAAAAGAATAAGTAAAAGAAGCTCTATAAGTATCTAATATACTTACTTCTAAATAAGCTTCTATTAAACTATTATAAGATCTATTATAATATTATTTATTTGAAAAGTATTAGAAATTAAAGAAATTAAATAGCTTATTTAATAAGAAATATCTATTTTTTAGAGTCTTTATAATATTTATAAAGGTTATATAAATTAAAGCTATTATAAGAAAATTAAAGAAAAAAGAAAAGTATTAGAATAAATAAACTAAATAGATAACTTGATTATAAATTAAAAAAGATAGAAATTATTCTATTAAAAAAAAAGTATATAAAATAACTAATCTCTCTATATTACTTACTAATAAAGAAAGATATATAGAGGTACTAAAATATATATTAAAAACTAGAGTATTTAGAATACTTTTTTTAATAAAAAAGAAGAGAGAGAAAGAAAAAGAAAGCTATATATAAAAGTAATAAATAGCTAAAAGTACTTAACTAGCTATATAACTTGTTATCTAATTCCCTACTATATATATTTCTAACTAACTAATATTTATTTCAAATACTAAACTAAAGAATAAAATATTAAACTAATAAATTAAATTAAGTACTAAACTAAATACTAAACTAAGAACTAGCTATATAAGTAATCTACTAAACTAGCTTTTATATATCTATAAATTATAGGTAGTAAACTAATAAAAGTATATATATTTTACTAAAATTTTATTAGAGTAAAATACTACCGGATTTTAAATTCTTTTTTTTACTATTTTATTTTATTCTATATTATCTATATAGTATTTTACCTGCTTCTCTTAGCTTATAATAGAGCTCTAGAAAGAAAGAAGCTAAGCTAGTACTTGCTTTACGAGTCTAATAATAGTAGTTTATATACTTAGGGCATTTCACTAATAAATACAATTTTGAAACATATAAATCTTTAAAAATTAATTAATTAAATTATATTTAGGTTACTTTAGTTCTCTAACCCTAAATATTAAGTCATAACTATTATTTGTTATCTTATAACTTTTAAGTATTTAAGGAGACTTTAGTTTTCTAAGGCCTATAAGCGAATTTATAAAGCCTGAAAATACCTGGAAAATGCCTTATATATATAGACTACTATTAGTAGGCTTATTAGTTCAAGATATAGTTTATTATAATTATTTAAATAATAAATATCTATTATAAAATAATAGTAGAACTAGAAATAATAATTCCTATATATATATTAAAGGCTAGAAAGGTATTTATTATAGTAATAGAAATAGCCCTTTTTTATCTTAATATATAAAACAAATAGAGAGCTAAAAGAGCTAGCCGGAATAGGTAAAGTAGAAATAGAAGAAATAGAAGATTAATAAGAAGTAATAGATAAAGCTAATAAAGTAGAAGCTTATAATATATTAAAACTGGCTTGTTTGCTAGTTCCAGAAGCTTGCAATCTATTAAGGAAACTGGTTTGTCTAGTAGAAAGCTTGGCAAAGAAGGCGATTATAAAGGTTCCAGGCCAAGAGTATTAATCGAAAGGACTTGAGAAGAGTATACGGCTTTCGATACCGGAGGACAAGAAGGCGAGAGTAAGGGAGTAGGTGGCAAACAAGTAGGTTCTCCCTGAGCCGGGCTCAAGGAGAAAATCACCTGATCTTTAACTGTACTTCTTAGGAACTGGATAATCGAGCAAACTACGAAAAGAATAAGTAAAAGAAGCTCTATAAGTGTCTAATTCGCTTGCTCCTGAACGAGCTTCCATTAAACTACTATAGGATCCACGATAATATCGCTTACTTGGGAAGTACCGGAAATTGGGGAAATTGGGTGGCTTGCTTGGTAAGAGATATCCATTTTTCAGGGTCTTTGCGATATCTATAAAGGTCGTATGAATCGAAGCTACTGCGAGGAAATCGAAGAGAAGAGGAGGGTATTAGGATAAACGAACCGAACGGACCACTTGACTGCGAATCGAGAGAGGTAGGAATCATTCTACTGAGAGAAAGAGTATATAAAGTGACTAATCTCCCTGTGTCGCTCACTAATGAAGAGGGGTACATGGGGATACTAAAATATATATTGAAAACTAGAGTATTCGGGATGCTCTTCTTGATGAGAAAGGAGAGAAGGAGAGGAGGAGAGAGCTATATATGGGGGTGGTGGACAGCCGAGAGCACCTGACCAGCTACGTGACCCGTCACCTGATTCCCCACTACAGTAGTTCAATTATATTAGTTCAGAAGGCTAGAAGAGCATCTGAGAGAGCAAAGAAAAGAGTAGCTAAGGAGCAAGCACGTAAGAATAGAGCTAGAGAAGAAGGAGAATCAGGTAATCAAGTGGAGGGGAGGGTACCAAAAAGGGCTGGGGTAGCTATAGGAGCGCCTAGACATAGTAGGAGGCATGTATAGTAAAGCTTTTGCTATTCCCGAGACCTCAATATTACCCGATTAATCAATCGGCCATTCGATTGATTAATCGGCCCCCTTATTGATTAATCGGGACCCACTGTGGCTTGCGAATCGTATTCCATTTCCTATTAATTAATGGGAGCTACGATTGATTAATCGGAAGGCCGATTGACCAATCGTAGCGCCCGATTAGTAAACCGCTCGTATTGACGAACGGGCGTGAACAGAGCTTGTGAGAGATGTGCGAGGGGAGACGACATTCAATGGACGAGATCAACAGTCATGCCACATTCTCTACCAGACATCACCCTTTGCAACCGTGGACAGATAACTCTCTCGCAGAAGTCAGCACTAGAGTCTACTCAAGGTGTCCAAAACCGCTCTCTTCCATTCTTCAAACTCAGGCACGTTCTTTGTATCGAATGCGCCCTTGAACAGTTTTTCATGAGTCCCGTACCTCCCCAGCAGTCGCTTACCGACCCTCGACACGGGACTGCCATTGACCTGGAACTCCCAATGGCGCACGCCGTCCTTGAGAAATCCAGCATCGACACGAAAGTCCCTATTCTTCCAAATCGTCCGACTACTTCCCGTCCCAAAATCTGCGGCCCCCTTCATCTTCAAGTTCTCCCAGATACTTTTAAGGTCTGAAGCTTTGAGAAGCTTTCCAGTATCGGTGTCACTATCCTGTCCATCATCGGTGTCACCATCCTGTCCATCATCGGTGTCACCATCCTGTCCATCATCAGGAGGCGGCATGGCCGTATACGCTGAATCGCTGGTGCGAGCCGAAGACGCAGCAGGAGCGGAGGTTTTTTCTCTCTCGGACACGTACGCAGCACTTGATTCATCATCAGAGGAGCTGAAAATGCTGTGCTACAAAGCAGCGTCAAACACGACTACCGAGTCTGGTCAATTTCAAGTGCTTACCAGCAGGTGCCCCGCCGCTATGGGTACGCTGAATGGGAAAGGAACGTGTATGCGGAAACCACTCCCCCCTCCATGGCTGACACGGACTGGAGGGTCCCTCGCTGCTTGCGGACGCAAACCAGAGAATTCTGGCACTGCCCTGGGTATGAACCCGCTCGGGGGTTCACCCCCAAGTTTTTTGTCGTAGGAAGACTCGCCCGGGGTTGTGCAAGGTGAGGTTGGTTCCGACTCATTGTTAGATTTCGTTGGCGGCCTTTCACCTTGGGCCTCCTGCCCGCGGCGCTGGTTATTCAAGAGTGTTGTTAGTGAAGTTGTAACTGCAACAACACCACCTGCAAGTGCAGCTCCAGCGGGTGAAAGTGTAGCCCCGGGGGGCACAGGAAAAGTCATCTTGTGATGATGTGATCTCCGGACACCTTTTCAATACAGAAGCGAAAAGTGTGTATCATCACTCTGAGTGAGGGTGAGAGGGAGCAGTTGGGCTTTGGTAGCCAGAAACAGCTTGATAGGGTAACCTGCCCGAGATAGTTGTTACACAGCATGAGCTGAGCTGTAGCGTGGCGACGTACCATTTGACACGAGTAAGCCTCGTATCAAATGATCAAACGCTCGATTAACCACAACTCCCCGTGGCCCTCTCTCGCCTCTCATAACGCCACCAACGCCCGGTTTATTTGACCTGACTATTGATAGTGAGCCCAGCAATTGGGTCTCATAAGCTAGGATTTAAAAGCGATTGGATTACTAGTTCCTAAAGTCCTCAATAGTTCCGAATGTCCAGTGTAGGAAAAGATGGTCGTCATAGCCAGTAGGCACGCCGTCTGTGACGGCGGGATCAATACAATAGTCAAAGGCTCAAAGTTCAAAGAACCTCATGTATTGAAAATACTAAGCTAGAGGGTAAAGGAGGTAGGAGTACCTCGACCTTTAATAGTATATTACTAAGATCCCTAGCCCAGCCTCACGTTTTACTCCTAGTTCCTAATACCGAGCCCCCGGCGGATTATGTAGAGGTGCCGACCGTCACACTTTGGTTTAAACTACATCACACAATCTGATATCTAGTATCATAGTACTCTAGTAACTCAAGATCACACAAACTTTTAGCCTCTCACCTATAAAAAGGGAAAAGTTTAAGAGAGAAGTTCACCCCTACCTGACCTCTTTATTACCTAAAGTAAAACAAATATTACTAAAAAGCTCTATATTTATAAAATGACAGCCGTAAAAATAGGTGAAAAAGATTCAACTAATAAAACACTTTTCTAATCTGAAAGATTGAAGGGGTGAACCCAGCGCTTCGCCGAACGGGATTGGGTTTTTATTTGGTTTTCCGACGATTTTTAGATGCTTACTCGAGCCAAAAGAAAGAAAGAAAATTGAAATAGCAAAAAGTTCGGCCCGGTGTAGAATGCCTACATCTTTCCGCGATTGGTGTACGTACGTATACGGTACTAGTGAGTCAAATTTTTCTTAGTTTGTCGAGATTCGGACCCAAATCCTCCTCCCAGTTTGACTTGACCACTCCACCAGGGGAGGGCACTTTCTGGTTGCAAATGGGTGACTTATTATGATATATAAGGCTTTGGTGAAATGGTCACGAGGCTTTGCACTCGACTGGTGCAGATACGTAGGACAATTCCAATTACATTCTGCATTCACAACACTCTCAATTTCGAAATATATTTTGATCATTTCCCCGCTTACTTCATCCACACCCATATCCACCTACCCATCTCCACTACATTCTCCCACGCCCACCACCTCTCCCTATCAACTCTATGAAATCTCCCCTTCCTCTTCTCCGGGTCCTTCTCCTGCGTCGAAACCGGATTCCCAATGTCCATCGTAACTCGCCTTCCCCACGTCCAAGGATACCATTCACTCTCATCTTTGAGATGATATAATGCCACAATGATTATGAATATTGGGACACTCAGATACGCAGCCAAGAAATCCGCGTGAGAGAACGGGTTCAAGAAAGCTCGCCATCCGATGAAGATGATGAGTAGACAGCAGCCGAAGAGCGCGTATGCCGAGCGTAGCCATTGGAGGTGCGATTTATAAGGATAGTCGCTCGCATTACGATTCAAGAACTGTCCTTCGGGAGTGGAGACCAGCACGCCTTCATCCGGATCGCCGTTGATGGTTCTGGTCTTAAAGTATAAAAATGAGATAGCAACGCAGGCGTAGACGATCAGCATCGAGCAGGTGGAGAAGATTGCCATGCGGCCGAGAATCTATTCATATTATTAACATATCTATATCGAACCCTCAAAAATATAATAAGGGACTCACTCTCGCAGGACTCGGCTTAACAGCCAGAAACCCAAGCAGACCAAACAACCAGCTCACAAACACCGCATTGACAGGCACACCTTTGCTTGATGTCCTCTCCAACCTCGCCTTGATATTCGCTCCCCATCCCGTATTCGGCCACACGTTCCTGATGCTCGCAAGTGCATGCAAAAGTCTGGATGCAATAAATAATCCATTAACCCCACAACTGAATGCCGAGAATATATAAAAAGCATTGAAGAAATGAGGCCACCCAACAATGCTATTGTGTATACAGGCGATGATAATCGGCGAGTTCTGGCCTCTGCGAATAGAGCTGATAGTCTGATCTTGCAGATTCTTGTCGTTGTATGGGACATTGAGTCCGACTGTGAAAACCACAAGAACGTAGAGGAGGATGACTCTGAGAGAGACCTTGCGAGTAGCGAGTTTGATAGCTTCATCCCTCTCCACATGTTTATTTTCTGCCGCCGTAACACTCACAGTAAAAAATCCTTGCAGACTGAAGAAAATCGTGTTCATCGCTGACCACATACCCACCAATCGTCCCGTTCCTCCCGTAAAGGTATATGTTCTCCCACCTGAAGGATCCGTTACTGTCTGGTTGGAGAAGAATCCCCAAGGCAATTGGTAAAGCTGAAAGTGACTTGTGCCGTTAGTGCGAGTATTGTTTGCGTTGATGATTGTGTTCATCATTATGATGCCGACTATGACAATGAGTTTGATGCAGCCGCAGACGTACTCGATTTCGCCGTAGGCGCGGACGGGGAGGAGGTTGATAGCTAAGATACCGAGGAGCATCATTCCGACCCACACAGCCGGGTTGGTGTTGAGACCGAATGTCCATTGGAGGGTTTCTTGGGGGTAGGAGAAAGATGCTAGGTATTCGGGCTCGAATTTGAATTTGAAGAGGGAGGCGACAGCTGAGACTTCGGTTGCTGTGAGATTGATGTATGCGAACCTATTGTTGATTAGTTGAGGGACCTGGAGAGAGGGATAGAACTGACCAAGCCATCCAGCCCACAGCGAATCCAACCCCTTCATCTAGATATCGACTTGGAAAATCGATGATCGGGCCCTTGACGGGAAAAACGGCTGTCATTTCCCCTAACGAAGCATTCGCTGACCAAAGAAGAGTACCCATAAACAGGTATGCCAGGACTGCACCACCGGGTCCAATAAGGTACATGATCTTTCCAGACTGCAAGAACAATCCGATACCGATCGTGGAAGAGAATGCTATCATGTTTACATGGCGTTCGCCGAGGGTCCGTCTGATCACATATTAATTTCTATCCTCGAAAGTTTCTGATATAAGAAAGGTAGCGAAGTGAATGAAAAGAACTTACCTAAGTTCCGTCCTCCTAAACGTCTTCCTCTTTTCCCACGGCCTCTGCGCCCCATTATCCTGTAGCGTCTCATCATCCTCCATTCCAGTGTCTCCCCCTCTATCACTGAAAACGCGGCTATTATTCATCGGGACCAGCAGTACTTCTTCGGAGCGAAGCAGTTTGCTCGTAACTTCTTTCTCCACCGGACTTTGAATATCAGAATTCATCAGGGCCAGATCGCAACCTGACAGCTGAATATACTAAGTAGTATGGCCCGCGATGGGAAAAGCAAGTCCAAAGAATCAGATTCGCAGCGTTGCCAAGTCAAAGAAGGCCGAAGGATTCGACGGCTCGAGAAGTCTGTCGAAAGGAGAGACACGGGCAGTAGGCAATCCCAAGCAATCCAATCACCACATGCACTCTTACTCATATCCTCCACAAAATTTCCACAACATACTCAGCCTGTACCAGGCTGACATCCTCAGTCGCTCCCAGCATCCGAGACACAACCACTCAACCCCATCTATCATTTTCATCCTGTGTTCGGCACTTCCCCCAAGCTTCGCCTCAGCCCTGAACGCCGGTCTTAGATGTGATTGGATCGGCGGGTTGGGGGGTGGGGTTCTGAGACATTGTTCCCAGCTGCGGCTGGGAGCATGAGACCGAAAAAGGCTTTTCTGTCACCTACGATGGTACTGGCAGCGAGCGCTGTCGCGGAACGCTGCTGCTGTTTGGAGTCTTGGAATTGGGCTCAGGCTCGGTGAGGCTGTGTAACGTGCAGATTACGGACTCGAGGCGTCCCCCACTTCTGAAGCCCGATCGCTGCACACTCAGGGCCTGTTTCGCACGGGCTCACGTAAGTTGGATACCGGATATTAGTAATATCGAACTCTAGCGTTCAATGCTCGATATTGAACGCTAGTATCGGTATAATTTACACCTGTTTCTCAAAGATGCAAATACTCATAATTATCATAATTACGGAGGTTTCAGCTTCATCTCCCCTAGCGTTTTTAGCCTCTATTTTCAGCCTCACTAATCTCCCGCTTCTCCTTCCCTAATAATTAGCGATTACTCCCTATCCCTTCGTCCGCTGAGACATTGCCACATTAGCGGCCGCACATGAATATCCCTAATTCGGCCAAAACATAATCCAAATTAGGGATATTCATGTGCGGCCGCTAATGTGGCAATGTCTCAGCGGACGAAGGGATAATTATAGCGTCTTGAAGCCTGGATTTATTTTATCGTTAAATAGAAAAGTAATTAATAAAATAATTATACCTTATATTACTGTCGGTTCACTAGTAACGTATAGCACCGTCATGTAGTCGTGGAATGCTAATTGCGTAGGTTAGTGAAGTTATTGTATTCTGTTAAGTAGGGATCGCAGTATCAAGGTTCTGATATGTGATCCCTAAATACGCTAAGACTAATTAGTACTAGTGTCCGGCATATCCCGTTTCCTGCATATCCCATGTCCCATGTCCTATATAGGAAACGAGGTCATGTGACGTAAATCACATGACCTCCGGGGAAACCGGTTGTACTACAATTACTTACTACTAAATAAATTAATCTGAGATTTATTCTACGAGAATCACAAAATATAAAGCTTTGGAAAAAATTTATACCCTAGAGTTATTATTAAACTAGTCCTAGAATAATATAATTACAGTGGAAGGGTGTGCGATAAGTCCACTATAAATTAGGGCATTTGGGGGGCATTGGGAGTGCACGTGGTGGCCTAAGGCCGACCGTTCAACTCCCAGTATTTTCAGAACGACCTCTAGTAGGTCGTTCTGAAAATACTGAGATTAGTATGGGGGCAGATACTAGTATTTAAATACTAGCGTTCAACTCCAGTATCTAAAACATTGCGAAATACTTATTTCTGTAATATCTGAATGCTAGTATACGATATCGGCAGCATCCGAACACTCAAGGGCTGCGAAACAGGCCCTCATCACACCTAACAGAGTGGGAGAAGCATCTATCAAGATAAACCCACTTAGGCCTTCATGTACAGTAGATGCCGAGTCAAAAGTTGTTAGACAAGGAAATAAAATGAGTCTGGTTCAACAGAATTAAAGTCCATGCTCCGCGGCCAATATCTGTTCGACATCAACCCCAATCTCAACCGGTCTACTTTTGCCTCCGCCCAAGCCCACCGTGACAAATACCCCCTTTCCCTTCTCTACCCAAAAAACATTAACCTCATCCTTTCCCGGCATCGCCACCTCCACCTCCCTCTTTACACTCGTCTGCCTTTTCACCTGCCCAATTTTAATCGGCGCCTGTTCTCTCCCGAAGGGGTTTGCCATCAAAAATAGTTGATTACGGTCGTTTAACAAGACGAGATTTTGGCCAGTGGCGCATAAGGCAGCTTTGTGGATGCGGGAGCCGATGCGGAGGTCTTGGTCTCTGAGAATATGGGCAGAGGGAGAGGAGTGGAAGGAGAGGTAGGTGGGGTAGCCGCGTTCGGTGAAAGTGGTTAGGAAGGCAGATTTGGAGGTTAGGAGAATGGAGGAGAGGCCGGAGTCGGAGACAAGGCCCTGGCGTGCAGTTAGTTTTCGTGGATTCAAGGGAAATATAGTTAGAGAAGAGTGATTTACAGATGGGGCACTACTCTCAACACTGCTAAAATTTGCTGGCGTTTGGCATTCGCAATGGTATGAGATCACCTTCTCCGGCTCGTATCTCGTACAAGCAATAAACGAAAGGCAGTCCGTCGAGAAGGAAACAAGGTGATCATTCTGTCCACACCGACCATTTTGCGTAGGTAACTTGTGATGAAATAGAGCGCCAGTCAGTGTATCCAGTATGCGAACGTTGGTGCCGAATTTCAATGCGAGATAATGGTCGTTGCTCGAAATCGCCATCTTGAATGGCACTTCCTCCAACTCCATCTCGTGGAATGGGCGTTTGATCCTGTCTTGATAGCTTCGGAGGGTTATGACCTAGACGTCGTCAGTGATTTGTAGGGTTTGATCTGGATAGATATTCGTACAGAGCCCATTCTGCTCACGACTGCGTATTTCCTTGTACCGCCTGCAGCAAGGAGAATGTCCCCAGCCTCCACTACCCTCACTGAAATCTCTGGACTATTCTCGAGATCGTAGCAGATCGCTCCAGCATCATTCCAAATAACGAGACTCCTTCCCGACGTAAAAAATGCATACGAAGTGATCGAAGAAGTCGTCTTGGGACCCTTCGATTTGAAGATCGACCATGGTTTTCGCTCTTGATATTTGGGTGACTGATACGATTGCGTGGAAGCAGCATCTGAAGACCGTACAGACTTTGGACTCTGTAATCTGAACGGGTCTGGGGGTTCTACTACCTCGGGCAGAGTTGTGCACTCGGCTTGCGATGGGAATGGAAGTGGACTGAAGCCCTGTCTGGAGTCGGATCTGGAAGAAGAACGCGACATGGTACTGGCTTGAGTAAGGGGGCTGCTCGTGGACCCGATGTATGTACTTGCTATGGAAAGAGGTTTGCGAAGACTTGGGCTCTTTGTACTCATCCTACCCTCATTGACAGCTCTCGGAGGAGATCGAGGGCCCGTTGAGAATCGGTTGGGTTGCTCATTGGTAGGTCGGCCGACGTCTACCATAGGTCGAAGATTTTGTGCTCCAGTATTTATTGGGGTCGTCTGTACCACTTCGGTCGTAACAATCTGTGATCGTGGAGTCGCACCCTTGCAGCGGAGGGGAAGTATTTCGGGATGAGACGGCAATGTTGATAGGTTTGAAGCGCTCGACAGCCGATCGATCCTCGACTTGGCAATTTTGCGTTGTGATCGCAACTTCTCCTGTATGTATTCGGATAATTTCGACAAAGGCTCTACCTTACGAGCAGAAATAGTGCTGGAAGTCCATGCACACTGGTTGCAAGTAATGTTCGCTGGGAAATCCTTCAGCAGGCGAATTTCAGCCTACTTATGTTAGCTGGGTGCAGGATGAACGAGTATTAGTGTGGGTGTACCAATGATAAATTTGCTGGCTGCGGCCCTTCGAACGAATGGTCCTTGAGACTTCGGAGAAGATCCTTTCCAGGGATCGGATGAAGTTCGGGACAACCCATTAGAAAGACATCGTCAGGAGGAGTGTGTTTGTTGCTTGCAGATCCACGCGGAGGTTTTGGATACCAATCTTGTATATCATCACTGATCTTTTGCGATATATGTTTTATCTCTGTGGCAAAAACAGGAAGTGTACTATGGCGCTCCTCCAAAATTGCCTGAAACTCTTTCAAAGAGGGTTCGACCTCCAGATACTGATTGTGCGACAAATGCTGGTCTATGGCATTGCGTGCCTGCTGGCTGATATGTTGTTTCCACTTAACAGAGACGGTTAGCACGGAATACATATGTAGATTGGAAACCTTACCAGATGTTGTATACCTGTCATATTATCGCCCAGGCAAGTGCATTCAGGGCCAAAACAAGAAGGGTGGAGCCCGGAGCAGATGAGTGATTTCGTTTGCTCTTGCGCCCACTCCAAAGTTTGGGGTGTGGTTGGGAATTTTGAATGTCGATATATTTGATCTAAGATCTTGAAACGAGGCACAAGTGTAAGGCGAGCCGCGTCGAAAGACCAGTGATTGGGGTCTTTCGGGCCCTGCGAATCTATACATAATTGAATCATAGCTGCAACAGTACTCCACATGGTGTCATAGAGCACCAGTGCGCACAGAAACCAATCTGCAGACATTGGTGATGCGGACGAGGCATTTTGGACAGCGTTCATCAGCGTATTGTCATGGTCTTCAATGGGACACTATGTATGTTAGATTCGGGCTGTAGGAATGTGTCCTGGTCACTTACAAGTCCGCGATCAAAGTCCTGAAAATTTACCAGACCGCAGGCCGGCTTACAGTACTGTCGGTGGCTTTCCTTCGGCCCATTGCAAAGCTCCGAAAGGATCTGCCGACAGAGAAGATCAACAAATAAATCTACTCCACGAAGTGTTTCGCGGTTCCATGCTTTGGAAAGCCTCAAGGTGAAATCTTCATAGTCTCGTCCAGTAATGTGCGCGCTCTGAAGTAGCAAGGCACGAAGTCCTGAGAGTTGGGTCTGACCGATGAAACCACAATACGCTTCATGGTCAGGCAAACCATCTTGTGCAGAGAAGGCCGAGGTTTTGATTTCGAGTAGATGCGAAAGGGTTGAAAATAGGATTCTAGGGTCTAGTATCGACGACTTAGTTTCAAAGCTTGGGTTTGATGACTGAAGATAAGTTCGTTGTAAATCGAAGATGGCTCTGAGCGCGACGACATGCGCAAACGATGTCGCACGATATAAGGTAGGGTCTGATTTCTGCTTAGAGGACTCGAGGAAGTAGCGACCGGTCAGCTCTTGCACAATGTTGTCGATATCCAGGCGGCCTTGCAGAGTTAACCATATTGCCGCAAAGTCTTGATGCGACATCACGGTCACATCAAGAGTGACCGGGATGAAGTTTACCGGATCAAACGTAAAGCTTCCAAAAGAATAAGGGACATCCCGCTATCAGACAGTTCGGCACAGGTTGAGGCGGGCCACATGCTCGGCAAATTTCTTTTGTAGCGCCATGCAGAAGGTTCATTTGGTGACGCTAAGCTGACAGCCCCAGCCTCCACAATTAATCCTTAGCCTCCACAACTCTTTGATTGCTGTTGTGAATGACATGTCAGACCGCAATGTCTTGATTGAGCGGTATGAGCATAAGGCAGCCTTACCGGCATTTTGAAAAATGCCAATAATGGAAAGACAAGCTACTAGTATTGTGGAAGATGCTGGAGTCTTGCTTCCGAGTCCTTTCACGGACCTTCGAGAACTTCTGGGATCAACACATCTTCAGTTCGAACGACTTTGAGGCCCGTCTGGCTACGTGACCCCTGTGAACCTTCGGAGAGGGCCGCACAGGGGAATAAATCAGATGAAAAGTCTCAGCGTACGTGACTGACATGAGATGGCGGACGGTCATGCACCACAATAGCGACAGAAGAACGGCGGATTTCACTTGAGCCTCTTTGTCATCACCGCACTCCTCCAGGGCCGCCCGCGAAATACATCGCCAGTCTACAAAGGGTACACTCCCACTTGAGGCTCTGCTGGTGCTCAGAAGGAGAGCAGTTGTCACGTCCGATACTTGCGTGTCGTTCTCGGCCGGGAAAGTGGTCGGTGATGCTGAACATCGCCGGAATGTTCGACCATGGAGCAGATCACGATCAATTTGACCTTTTTGAGGGTGAAAGAGGAGAAGGGGTTGGGTTAACGAAAGAGTCGTCCTTCCGACAAAACATTCCTTCCGGTTAGGATTATCCGGTCAAGATATGCTTCTCCAAGCTACCAACTTACAACAACAATCATTCGACAGCAACCAAGATGGGGTAAAGGACTAAAGGGTGGGAGGAGGCATAAAACCCCTCTCCAGGTACAAATGCTGTCCCAATCTCTATTTCCCCAAGGGAAATTTCGAACTCAACAGCAGAAACAATGGTCTCGACACGAGCAGCTCAGACTTCACCTCGCACCTCGTCCATAACCTCTATTACCCTCTCTCCAGAAGAACTCTCAACCAAAACCCTCGCTCCCCGCCACCTTCAAGCAGCCCTCGAAGCACTCCATCGTGATGGCATACCTCTTCTCTCTAACGCGATCCCAACATCCGACCTCGACATCCTCAACTCGCGCATGGTCCCCGAAGCAAAGCATCTCTACGCCCTCTCCACTACCCACCGTACAACCTACGATTCCGAAAGGAGCGTTGATTATAAGGGATTTGAGGCTATGGTATGCGGGAATGCCGAATCAGATGGAGGAACCGAGAGTCATGCTCGTTTCCATACATTTCTCTGGCTGGTATAGGACTGAGCGAAAGATTTTGCTGCAAGAGAGTGTGAAGGGGAAGATTGAGTGGGGGCATTTGGTGCCGTGTGTGGAATGTGTGCTGGATGGGTATGATTATTTGCAGGGGCAACATGACCATGATTTTGATTTGTTGCCCTGATGAGATGGTAAGACATGAAGTGGTGAGTTCGTTGTAGGCGATTTGTGGTAGTGTTGGACGAGCGAAGGCCCAGTGGTCGTTGATCTCAGGATATAACGTCAATATATATATTATTTTACCAAGTCCGATGTGTACTTTATTTCAATATCAATTTTGCGTATCACAAGATTGCCACACTGGTAATATTTCAAATATGTCGCATTGTTCCCGACACTCTTCTCTCAGCGGCCATGGAAGGATGATGGGCCGAGGCTTGTGAAGAGATTTACCTCCCTGGTAGCTAGTATATGCGATTCTGCAATTGTTCGTTGTACATGGTTCAGCACTGCTGCGCCCAACTCAACTCGGGAAGCCCGACCGAGGTATCAAATACAGAAACCTTGCCGAAGGCGCAAAGACCACGATACGATTCAACGAATACCCTCACAGTTTCCTTCCGTACCCGCCCTACTTTCAAGCACATGAAAGACATAAGTGGCAGGGGTAGCAACCTTACCGGCGCAGCGGTAGCAATGTCATTGGTATGGACTTCGACAGACGAGCGACATTGCTTACACTTGGTAGTGAGCCTGCAACGGGGAGTTTACTCCATCCGAATATCAAAAGCAAAGCGTCAGCTCGGTTTGGTTTTTTCGGGATCGGCATTGTACCAGTCAAGTGTTGTTGTGAGCTCGGCTAGTGGTAGCTTTCATAATGAGTGGAAAAGGAGGCGAGGAGAATGAGGCGAGATGTGAATTGGCATTGAAGCTGATGGAAGGCCACGCCGAAGAGTTACAGAGCTGGAGGAAGTGCATTGGTGCTTCCGGTTAGCGTGAATAAATTGGGGTAAAGTGACTTGGAAGTGAAGCTGGGGTAAAGTGGAGCGGTCGCCGGAAAGGTAGCCTATGGGGTATACGGGGTATACGACACTTGAAGAGATATAAAAGTCGAGTTTAGGTGGTAGGTGACATCAGAATTTAATTGCTATACAAAGTCTCTTCTCAGCCTGATACCGCCAAATTGTACTTCTCTTTCTAATTAATCTATTTTCCTTTCTCCCCTTAATAATACTCAATAAGGTTAAAACTCCTTCTAATACTAATTCTCAAGCTTCTCTTGCAAATATACTCTAATTACTCCCTATTGCAATATTAATTAAGCTAATATCAGAAATATTAGCTAATTAGTAGCTAAAACCGAGTAGTAAATATACGGAGACGAGATATAGATCTATAGGCTATTTCTGCCTATTTATATCCCAGCCCTATCTAATACTAACATTTATTTTTATAGCAAAGTTTTAAATTAAGAATTAATCCTTATATATTAGCCTTATTATTATAGCAAGTTATTACTAATACTAGGTCTCGAATAATAATATATAAACCTCTTTCTTTACTTTTATCTCTTTATTTAAATATTAACTAGAATACTTTATTTCCTATTATCTCTTTTTAAAATAAATAGTAAACTTATCTTTTCTGAAAAGAAAAAGCCTGATTTTAAAGTTATTATTATAAGCAGTAGTATTATAGGCTCTATTCTAGCTAATTCTCTCGAGTAAGCTTATATCTTTTATATCTTAATAGAAACTAGAAAAGATATTACTCTAGTAATTAGTACTTTAATTAAAATACTACTAAATAGATATAGGATTTTTATTAGATTAGTATAGAAGAATGTTTTATATAACTTTTCCAAAATCTTTTTTACTATTTTATTTATAAATACTTATTTATTAATTTTTTAATTATTAATATAATTAAAAGGTACTAGAAAGTATTACTTCCGGATATAATTAAGAAATAGTTAATTAATTAGTTCTTTAGTAATTTTAATATTTATTATTTATTAAGTTATAAGACTAGTTATATTTATAAGCTATCTAAATACTAATTACTATTTACTTAATTATTCTATATCTAGTTTTATTATTAAAAAGATCTTTTTAGAGCCTAATTACTATATTATCTAATAATTTTTTATTTAGCTAAATAGCTCTATTTAGTACTATAATAGGGATTTTTCTCTTATAGTTATATATAGTTATATAACTATAGATATTCGGTTTCTATAAATTATTTTACTTTTCTTTCTTATTTTTAGAAAATTAACTAATCTTTATTCTTTAATTCTATATTTTATTTATATATTATATTATATATTACTTCTTATATAATTATTTCTTATTATAGTAGTAACTTAGAAAAGATTATATTCTAAAGCTCTATCTTTATATAATTTCTTTATAGTTATAGAATTATAGTTTATAGATTATAGTTTAAGCTTTAATTATATTAATTTATATAAAAACAAAGCCTTTTCTTAGCTTAAAACTCTTTTCTTATAACTGAGTTATAACTGCTTTATAGCTTATTATACTTTTTACTAATTCTATAAATAGTATAATTTCTTTATTAAGCTTTAAGTATTATAATTTAAGTTTTAATTATATTACTTATATAATAGTAATAATGTTTCTATTTGAGTTAAGATACTTCTTTTATAATTGCTTTTTAGCTACTTTATATTTTACTTTCAATTTCCTATAATTCTATTAATTATATAATATTAATTTCTATTTTTCTATTTTTTACTAAAATTCAAGTCTTATAATTCAAGCTTTAATTATATTAATTCAAATAAAAACAAGGCCTTTCCTTAGCTTAAAACTCTTCTTTTATAATTGAATTATAACTGCTTTAGATTCTTAAAATAAAGGTATTTTCTTATAAGATCCGGATATTATATTATATTCTAACTTATTTATATTTATATCTTATAGAAAAGATATAAGTTAACTTTAGTTCTATTTATCTAAAAGCCCGAAATAGTAAGCAAATAATTATTAAGTTATTTTATAGACTAGAAGTATTTATTAGGTAAATAAAAACAAATAATAGAGACTTTTATTTAAAAGCTTATAATCTTTAACTTTAAGAACTTAATATTCTTAAACTATTACTTTTTTTTATTTTCTAATATTTTTTAAAAACAAAATAATTATAATAATATAAATATTTTAGTTATTTTTAGAATTAGTAAATCTTTTATTTTATAAACTATTATTTCTATATATAATTTTTATTTTTATTTTTATTAAAAATAATTAAGTAAATAGAATTCTTAAAGCTTTTTTAATTAGAAATTTTTTTTTTTATATTTTATTTTATTTATAACTTTAGTTTTAAGTTTTACTATTTTTATAAATTCAAATTCTATTCTAGTAATAGTAAATATTTAATAATCTATAGTATTATATATTATTTTATTAATATTTCTAAAAATCTTTTTCGGAAAAATATTAACTTTAGTTCTAGTATTAATTATTTCTTTATATTTAATACTCTTTTAAGATTCTTAAAATATAAATTAAAGATATAAAGATTATATAATATATTTATAAGCTAGTAATATTCGAATATTAATACTATTATTTTTAAATTAAATAATTCTATTAATATTAGATATTTAAGCTAGTATTTCTAATTTCTTAAATATTCTATTTATTATATAAACCATAATTACTAGTTTTATAGATTTTCTAATATATTTAACTATATTTAATTTAATAATATTTTTTATTTATAAGATAATAAAATAAAAAATAAGATTTTTTATTTATAAAATAATAAAATCGAAAATATTATTTTTAATTTATTAGTTCTAAAATATAATAACTAAATCTAGTATTTTTAATATATTAATAAGTATTCTTATTTTCTTTAATAATTATATTAGAATATTATTAATTTTAGAAATTTTATATTTATTATAAATAAGAATATATTAAGTTTCTAATTTGTTTTATTTATTTCCAGAAATATTAATATTTATATTTTTAGCTAGATTATTTCTTTATTTATTATTTCTTAAAATAATATTCTTTTAGTTTTTTATATAAAATAGCTTTTTTTCTATTTTAACTTATTTTCGGAAAACCTTTTTAACTATTTCTATTTCTTTTTTCTTTAATAAGAAATCTATTATAGTATTAATAGAAATATTATTTATAATTAAATCTTAATATTATTTATTAATTTTAGAATTTAAAATAAAATAACTATTTAGATTCTTTAAATATAACTTATTTACTTTTATATATAAATTTTAATTAATAAGTTTCTTTTTTTCTTTCTTATCTAATAAACTAAATATTTAGTATTAATTTCTAAATATTTTTAAATTAAATATTTAAATTATACTTATTTTTTTTTTTAGATTTAAGAAATAATTTAGTTAAATTACTAGTATTTATTAATAAAGAAAAAAAAAACTTTTTTATTTAAACTTAAATAGCTTTTTATATTATTTTTTATTAAATTAGTAAATATATTTATAATTTATAAACTCTTTTATTAATAAGTAATAGAACTAAAAAATATAAATATATTTTAAATTAATATTATTATTCATATTTTTATTATAATATCTATATTAAATTTATTCTTTTAATTCTAGATTTATATTATAAGCTATATTAATTTAAATAGTATTCTCTAATTATATTTAAAACTAATTTCTTTTAAAATATAATTATTTAGATTTTTATTTATTTTAGTTTAATTATTATAATTACTATAATATTTTCTATATTCTTTATTATAATTTCTAATATATTCTTTTTAAATACTCGAATTATATTTATTAAACTATTAATATTATTATATTTATTATAATTATTATAGTTAATTAGATTATATAAATAGATTATAAATATTCTTTTAAATTATAATAATTATTATATTAAATTATTTTTATAAATTCTCTTAAATTATAATAATAATAAATAGTTTTTCTAGATTTTTTATTAGCTAGTTAATATTATTTCTTTTGAGTTTATTACTTTTAATAGGTTTTATATAATTAGTTATAGGCTAGATTTTTTATTTATTTATATTTAAAATAGCTTTAAAAAGTATAATAAAAGAAATTAATAAAAAGTAATTATTTTTTAGTTTAAAAGTTATATTATAAACTATTATATTTAAGTATTCTTATTTAAAACTAAATATATTAGTATTATTAGTAATATTAAAATAGTATTTTTTCTTTTTATATTAATAAAATATTATTTTTTCTTATATATTTTATTATATTTATAAATAGAAATATTTATAAGTTTAAAGTTTATATTTTTAAAAAATATAATTCTTTATTAAAAT